ACAAACGGCCCCTCACAGAACACACCCCATTTCCCAGACAGCCAGGAATGACCGCCACCCCACCTCCCACTCCTTCTCTTCCCTCCCAGCGCTTCGCTCCCGACTTCTCTCCCCCGCAGTCACCTTAATAGAGACACCGCCATCTTGCCGAGGCGCCACTCGCTCCAATGTCCCCCCGCCCAACCCCAAGCAGGAAGAGGGCGCAGGCTGACGTCACTGCCCTACTTCCGTCGTCAAAGGCAAGCAAGGGCGGAAGGGCGCTTTTCAGCAGGCAGTGGAGGAGAGGGGCAAGGCGCGTCTGCTTAAGACCTTAAGGGTTTCCCGTCCACTCTCGGTTCCGGCAGGCTGAGATCCTGTGCTCTTTTTGTTTTTTTATTCGGGAGCTAGGATTATTGATTTGCATGGGGCTCCTTACTTCAAAGGAGGACTGGGAATTTGATATATTTATAATATGTGCACATTTATATTACACCCCGCCTTTTTTCTCAAGGCGGCTTACAGATAAAAATAAGAACAGCTAGAAAAAGACAATCGTGTTTTTTTAAAAAAAAATAAACATTGATAGAATTAAAACTATGTACATATATACAGTTTATCAGATCCAAGCCAGTAAATAAGAGTTGCATTCACTGTTCAGGGTAGACCCATTGAAATGAATGGGCATGGCTTAACTCAGGTTCATTCATTTCAGCGGGTCTCTGGATATTTATTTATTAGATTTCTATCCCATATTTCCTCCAAGGAGCTCAAAAGTGCTGTTCATGGTTGCCTTAACCCTAATGAGCTTCATGGCCGAGTGAGGATTAGAGCCCTGGTCCATCCGTACCCCCACCGAATCCTAGTCCAACACTCTAACCACTACAACACACCGGTTCTCATATCAAGTAGAATTTAGTTAGGTAAAGCTGATCTTCCACTGTATCTTCCCAGAGAGAAAAATCACATCCTATGCAGCCGTTTGTGAGTGAGCAGGCCAGCAACACTTGAATTTTAAGCCAAATATATTCAAGGGTTGGCACCTACAAGTTTAGAGACTGCACACTTTGTTTTTCTGAGCATGTGTTGAACTCTTTCAAATTCAGGCACCTCATACCACCACCCTGCTGGCATTCAACGTCTGCTGGGTTATTTCCATTTACAGTATTTTACAGTATTTTATTTATTATTTCAAACATTTATTGTGCTGTTTTTCTGCATCTATGAAGGAGTTTCTCAAAGCAACTTCCGAAATACAAGGGCAACAGGGATCCAAATGCTGAAAGGCAGATTGTCGAAGTAAAATGATGAAATGATATATCCTTGCTTCTTCCTCAAGGGGCCTGAGGTAGAGTACGGTAAATCGTTCACTGCCACTAGATCTTCACAATAACCCTGTGAGGTAAGTTAGCCTGAGAATGAGAGAAGTGAGTGATCAAGTCAAGGTCAGTAAGCAAGCTTTGTGGTTGAGTAGAATTATGCTAACTACACTACTCTGGGGGACGCAGGTGGCGCTGTGGGTTAAACTACCGAGCCTAGGACTTGCCGATCAGAAGGTCGGCGGTTCGAATCCCCGTGACATGGTGAGCTCCCGTTGCTCGGTCCCTGCTCCTGTCAATCTAGCACTTCAAAAGCACGCCAGTGCAAGTAGATAAATAGGTACCGCTCCGGCGGGAAGGTAAACGGCATTTCCATGCGCTGCTCTGGTTCGCCAGAAGTGGCTTAGTCATGCTGGCCACATGACCTGGAAGCTGTCTGCGGACAAACGCTGGCTCCCTCGGCCTATAGAGCGAGATGAGCGCCGCAACCCCAGAGTCGGTCACGACTGGACCTAATGGTCAGGGGTCCCTTTACCTTTACACTACTCTGAGTACCTCTGAGAAAGCGCAGAGTGTGTTCTGTTCTGGCATCTCTTACTGAGTGCCTCAGATTATGACGTGAGAAGCTTCAGTTCACGTATTATGTATTACATTTAAATCCCACCTTTTCTTCCAAGGAGCCCAGGGCAGAGTACATTGTCCTCCTGTTTTATCTATTCACACAACAACCCTGTGAGGTAGGTTAGGTTGAAAGATAAGGACTGGCCCAAGGTCACCCAGTGAGTTTCATGGCCAAGTGGGATTTAAATCCTGGTCTCCCAGATCCCAATCCAACACTTTCACCACTACTGCTATGCTGGCACCCCAGCTTGAATAATTCCACTGTTTCACCAAACAGGGAGTGCTGCATCTTTAGTCAATTTTTACAACTTTCATCCCAGTTTTCTCCATCAAGGGGGAGAAGGGAGAGGTGACAAGCCCCCGCCTGCCCTCCAAGATCATGGACATTCTGAGGCTCTAAGCAAGAATCCTGGGAACTGTGGTTTGCCGTAAACACCCCCTGCAGGCTGGGATACCATTGTTCTTGTAGCCAGGGCTTAGTGGAGCATGCAGAATGTCCCAGGTTCAATCCCCAGCAACTCTTGGTAGGGTTGGGGGAGATCTCTAATGGAAATCCTGGAAAACCACAGCCTGTCAGTGTATAGATAATACTGAGCTAAATGGAGCAATGGTTTGACTCTGTATAAAGGCAGCTTCCAACGTTCCTAGCCTGTCTCGTTCCCTTGCCTTTCTGGTGTCCTGCCTTGGACCCAGCAGTCCTCATTGCAGCACCGAGCCTCCGACCTCCGAACCGCCCACTTTGGACTGCTTAGCCCAGCTGGATAAAAAAAATCAAAGTTTCCTTTGTCAGCCCAAACTCAGTCGCCCCAGCTTTGTGGAATGTTGTGCCTACAAGCACAGGCAAGGGATCCAGATCACACGGAAAGCACGGCTCAGGATCAAGGCTTCGAGGGATCTGGGAGTGATTATATGCTTCAGGGTTGAGCCTGTCCTGGTGAGCCCCGACCCATCTATCTTCTCCACAATAAAAGTTTAAAAGCTTCCAGGACCGCTGTAAACACCATATATTTAAAGCATATTCCACCTCTCCAAAGAATCCTGGGAACTGTAGTTTGTTATGGGTGCTGGGAATTGTAGCTCTCTTTGGGCGTATACTCCAGGACTCAGGATTTTTGTGGAATGTATTTTAAACGTGTCTTAAAAGGGCCCTGGGAAAGTAGGTGGGCGGGTGAGCATGGGCCAAAACTAGCCGAATTTTGTGGAATTAATTTTGAAGTAACTGCTGAACAAATGTCAAACAGATCAATGTCAAGCAGATATCAATCAGATGAACAACTGCACAACTTTCTGAAGATGTCCATGTATCATGAAGTTTTTAGTGTTTTACTTTTTGCTGAGGTATTATTATGTTAGAAGCTAGACTGCATAAATACTAAATTATTGTTATTACAGTATATTTAATGTAAATTTTGCATTTGCTGCTACACCCAGTTCTGCCTCTAGCTCCACCCACCAGTGACATGTGGCCCCGCACAAGGGAATGTGGCCCTCGGGGTGAATAATCCAAGCCCTCACTGCTGCTCTCCTCAGCAAACTGGGTTGTAGAATCAGCACCATTCATGGCCTGGCTGCGCTGGCTGCCAGTTTCCAGGCCCAGTTCAAAGGGCTGGTTTTGACCTATGTGGCTCAGGTCTCCCAATACCTCAGAGACCGCCCCATCCCATATGAACTGACCCGGACCTCATCATCTGAGGCCCTTCTTTGTGTGCTTCCTCTGTGAGAGGTCTGGAGGGTGACAACATGAGAACGGGCCTTTTCTGTGGTGGCTCCCTGCCTATGCAATCTCTCCTGGGAGGTTTGCCTGGTGCCGTCATGAGACGCCTTTAGGTGCGCAGCAAAAACATTTATTTCAGACCCTCCAAGTGCCCCTATTTTCCCAGGACTGTCCCGTATTTACAGAAGCTGTCCCAGTTTCTGATTTGATCACGGAATGTCCTGCTTTCCCTTAGGACGTCGCTATTTTAATTGGAGAAATGCTGGAGGGGATGTTGTTTTGTGCCAGGCCTTCAGTTTGTAATCGTCTGTGGCCTCCTTGAGTGGGTGGGCATGTTTTAATCTTGCCGTATAAAAATAGGGTTGTCTTTGTCCTTTTCGTTTGAACGCATGTGCTCATTTGTTTTACACATTGTACAGTGGTACCTCGGGTTACAGATGCTTCAGGTTACAGACACTTCAGGTTACAGACTTGGCTAACCCAGAAATAGTACCTCGGGTTAAGAACTTTACTTCAGGATGCGAACAGAAATCGCGCACCAGCGGCACGGCAGCAGCGGGAGGCCCCATTAGCTAAAGTGGTACCTCAGGTTAAGAACAGTTTCAGGTTAAGAACGGACCTCCGGAACAAATTACAGTGGTACCTCGGGTTAAGAACTTAATTTGTTCTGGAGGTCTGTTCTTAACCTGAAACTGTTATTAACCTGAAGCACCACTTTGGCTAATGGGGCTTCCTGCTGCCGCCGCACCGCCGGAGCACAATTTCTGTTCTCATCCTGAAGCAAAGTTCTTAACCCGAGGTAATATTTCTGGGTTAGCGAAGTCTGTAACCTGAAGCGTATGTAACCTGAAGCGTATGTAATCTGAAGCATATGTAACCCGAGGTACCACTGTACAGTAAGTTCTTAACCCGAGGTACCAATGTAAGCTGCTTCAGCTAAAAAGGTGACCAATACGTTTAATACATATTAAGGAGAATAAGAAGAACGACCCATTGGGAGGCTGAAGAGAGGGATGCAGGCCTTGGGCCAGGCTGTTCCACCGCTCTTGCCCTGAGGCCTCATCTCCTCTGGCATTCCTTCTGGAGGCTGTGACATCGCCTACACCTCAGCCGAGAATGCGGCTTGACAATGGCCGCTCTTTTGCCCAGCTATGTCGCCGGAGCGTGTGGAGCAACATTTAACGAGCCAGCGGGCATAAATGCCCCCTTTTCACTTTTGTTCCGCTCTGGCTTGTTCTTCCCCCTTCTTGGCTCCAAAGCACCCCACCCCACCCCACGAAACCGAATGCCAGGCTCCCATTGGCTCGGCGTTTCTGCCGAGACGGCATCCTTCCCAGGCCAGCCAGGTTCTTAAACCAAGGGTGCCACCCTCCGAGGCACCCATCGCCAAGGAACCGCCGTCTCCGCCATCGCCATCTCTTCCCCTCCATGTGGCTGTAGGGATTGTACAGTAACCAAAAAAAAAAAAAAGAAAGAAGAGGGGGGAAAAAGCCATGGGGACCCCAGGCAGCTCAGGGAGGGAGAGAGCCCTTCTTCTGCTCACGGTGCTGGTTTCGACAATGGGTAAGTCGGTGTTTCGATGGGAAGGGGTCCTGGGGGTCATCTAGTCTGACCCCAGCAGATCGATGCAGGGGTGAAGTGTCTCTGGCAGGTGGCCACCGGACCACTGCTTCCGTACCTCTGGTGAAGGAGCGTTTGCCGCTTGTTAGGAAACATAGGAAGGCGGCTGCCTTATAGCGAGCCAAAACAGTGTTCCATCTAACTCAGTGCGGTCTGCACTGGCTGGCAGAGTCTCTCCAGGGCAGCAGGCATCGGGACACTCCCAGGGACTGAGCAACGGACAACAAGTCTTTTACATATTCAGAGATATTGGGCAGTCCCCGACTCCTCTTAATACCCATGGGAAAAGGAGGGAGAAGGTGGTGGTCATCAGGAGAACTCAAATGACGAGGCGTTCAGAGGTAGACTGCTTGTGAGTGAGGAGGCTCCATTTTGCTATCGCAAGGGGACTGCCCCCCGTGACTGTGATTTAATTTAGTGGGGGCCGCTGGACTTGCATTCAAATTCCACCGTGGCTGTTGTGCAGAATAGTCACTCCTTGCGAACATAAGGGCTGCCTTGTCGGTTGACGCAGTTCAGAAACGGGGAGCCTGGGGCTTTGCAGATGTTGTTGGAGTACAACACCCATCATTCCTGACCTTCAGCCATGCTTGCTGGGGCTGATGAGAGCTGCTGATAACAACATCTGGATGGAGGGCTCATCACCCTCCTCCCAGGAGCAGCCAGCCAGATGTGACCATGGAAGGGCATTCAGGCAATGGCTTTCCCTTCTTCCTCCCCTCACACATGCTATTCAGAGGTAGACTGTCCCTGAACCTGGAGGTTTCACCATTAGCTGTAATTGTTCCTGCTAATTCTGATTCTGTACCTGTTTAGCTATCACGCTAAGCAGATCTGTGTATTCTCTGTGATTTTCTCTAATACTTTTCATTTATTTATTTTCCTGTTGTTGAAAATGTTCGCGGCACTTGGGGGGAAAATATTTAAGTGATTTTCAGCATATATTTTTATCTTGATGTAATCTGTAACTAAAACAGTAATGTGTGTGACAGCAAAAGTAATAGGTTTCATCCAATGCTAGTCCTCAGGGTAGACTCATTGAAGTGAACTGACTGACTAACTAAAACTCATTCATTTCAGTGGGGTTGCTCTGAGCAGGACTTAGATACAGCCCAATGATAATAACTTAACCCAACTCAGAGTAGACCCATTGAAATCAATGACCATGACTAACGTAATTGGTTTTAATAGGTCTAATCTGAGTAGGAATTTAGCTGGATACCAACCAATAATCATAATCATGTTGCAGAGTTCCACAAGCGAATTGTGTATTATATCTATCCTGAAACTACTGTTCATCTTTTCTTTTTGGGAGGGAGGGGGGTGGAATCCTGGTCTGGGTGCCCCATATTTATTGTTACTTGTGCCTCATAGTGGTAGTCTATAATGTGGTTTGATCTGGGCAGCAATGGTGGGGTGCTGGGGTGATCCAGAGATGATCTCGTTATCTAGGAAAGGAGTTGACAATAGTGGCTTTCTGGAACACACCCAGATCTGTGATTTTGGGTCTTCCAGGGATGCCAAAGTTGCAGCCCTGGAAGTCCAGGATGGTGACTCAGTATTAGCATGAGATATAATAATAATAATAATAATAATAATAATAATAATAATAATAATAATAAATCTTTTATTTATATCCTGCCCTCCCCGGCCAAAGTCGGGCTCAGGGTGGCTAACATCAGATATATAACATTAGTATAATATCAAACAATAATTAAATTACCTCCTAAAAACAGGTCAAAATCAAATTAAAGTCTAATTAGATGGCTTTCCACAGGGTTAGGGTTATATGTTTTGTAACTATTTATACTTTGAAGCCTAAAATCCCAGGCTGCTTTCAGATTACCTGTTCATTGAACAAACACCCTGATTTGTTTTCAGGGTGGATAGACGAGGTGGCATATTCCTGCGTTGCAGAGGGTTGGCCTGGATGACCCTCGTGGTCCCTTCCAACATTACAATTCTGTGATTTGGCACAGGGACAAAAATTGCCCAAATACCAATCGTTTTCCTTCTTTTTTTAAACAGCCACAAAGACCTATTACAGTCGTAACTTAAATTGCTTCCATCTCAGCTGAGAGGTGTGTTAGAAGAACAAAGCGATGCATTTTATATTGCTCTGGGACCTCTTTCCATTCTCTTTTGGAAAATCGATAGTGTGTGTGTGAGGGAGTGAGTTCAAGCAAAGCGAGCCATTAGGAAATACATTGTCCTTTAACTGTCCCCGACCTCCTGACAAGGAGGATGGCCCGACTTCCGTGTCTGACCTGAAGTCTCCAGGGTTGCGTGGCCTCCTCCATGTGGCAGGTGGAGAGACTGAATCTCCAGGTGTGTGAGAGTGGTGTGCCTTTAATAATAAAACATGTTTGCGCTGCGCATGCAGCTTGCAAGCTTCAGCCCAGAAGGAGCTGGCTGCAAATTATAGCAGAGACTCTTCTGTGGGGGGGGGTCTGTCCTCCTTTGCTCCCCTTTCCCAATTAACCTCCGTCTCCAGGGCCTGCCCCTGTGACATCACCAGAAGCCATCCCTAGGTCTCAGGACTGAACCCTGAAACCACCAGGTGCTCCTAACCTGGAAACCTTACTGACAAGTTCAATTTATACGTGATCGTGGCCTCCCATGCTTTCTCGTTTTTCCCAATCTCCAGTTGGATGGAGCTCTAAGAATGCCCCTCTTTTTTTTGCTGCCTGAGCAAGTCTTTGCAGGGTGACAAGGGTGTGCAGAAGGCCCCTAGGACTTTTTATTTAATAAAATGCAATATCCTGCCCTTTGGTTCATTGGAAATGTGCCTCTGCTGCCACCCCAACCCCCCAATGTGGCTTACAGTTATGAAAATTTAAAAATAAGGAAATTAGAAAAACATCCGACACAATGCAGTCTAAACACAGCAGTGGAATCAAGAAACAGAAAATGTGAGAAAGGAGTCATAATCCTGGGAATTGCAGTTTAAATTCCCAGCACCCTTAACAAACTAGTTCCCAGAATTATTGCATATGTGTGTATGTGCGTGCTTTAAATGTATGGGGTACGCAGACATTAACAGAAATATAGGAAGCTGGTTTGTCCCTGTCCATTTTGCTCATTACAGTGGTACCTCAGGTTACGTATGCTTCAGGTTACCTACGCTTCAGGTTACAGACTCTGCTAAGCCAGAAATAGTGCTTCAGGTTAAGAACTTTCCTTTAGGATGAGAACAGAAATTGTGCTCCGGCGGCACGGCAGCAGGAGGAGGCCCCATTAGCTAAAGTGGTGCTTCAGGTTAAGAACAGTTTCAGGTTAAGAACGGACCTCCGGAATGAATTAAGTGCTTAACCTGAGGTACCACTGTACCGTCTGCACTGACTGGCAACAGCTTTCATGCAGGGAGTCTTTCCCAGCCCAACCTGGAGATGCTGAGGACTGGGACCTCCTGCACGTCAAGCGGTAGCCTTGCCACCCAGCTACATGGCTGTTCCTTCAGAATGGGGATGTGAGAGATCAAGGGGCACAAGAAGCTTGCCTTTTCCCAATATCTATCCCCATATTGTCTACTCTGACTGGCAGCTGCACTGCAAGGACTCAGGCAGCTGCTTGGCCGGGAAAAGGGTTTGAGAGGGGAAACGCATCAAGCGACAGTACTTCCCGGGAAACAACAGGCTCGATATGGATTTGTGGCAAACGTCACATGGCAGCAGCTTTGGAAGGCTAGGAGTGTGAGTGCGCTGGAAATGGGATTAAGTGGCAATGTGTAGACTGCCTAGAATTAGCAATCTCTGCCTGCCGTTGGCTCTGGCGCCACCTACTGTTGGGCTCCCTGCTTTCTGCTCTGAAAGTCCCAAAGGTTCAATAGCTACCATTGAGGGCATCCAATCTACAATAGCTATTGGTTACAATAGAACACTTTTCCAGTCTAATTTAGAGGTGGGAAGAGGCAGGGAGGACTCTGGAGGGACCATCTTGGAGCTGCAGCTATAAGCAGTCACTGCATTGAGCCAAACAGGAGGGGTCTCAGGCTGGTCTCCAAAATTCCATTGTCCTGAGTTCTGATTGTGTTGTTGGATGTAAAAATCAGGTTGCATAATGGCAGACTTTCCCTTGACTCCCAGCTTGGAAGAAAGGCGGGATATAAAGTCTAACAACAACTGGGAAATAATAAGTCTACCTGCGTACATATATACTGCATAGTTCTGTAAACTTAATTACATTTTATTGTTATTTCGTTATTGCTGTTTTCCTTGGCTTTCTTTGTTTTTTATGTACTGTATTTTCCCCCCTCTTCATTTCCGCCCCCCCTTTTCTTTTTCTTTTCCTTATTCACTTTCACTCACTGCAAAAATGTCAATAAAAATTTCAGGTAGGTACACATATATAGGATGGTGCTGTTACCCATTCTACAGAGAGACATAAAATGCCTCCTTTTTCAGATTGCACATGGCTGTATACACCCTTCCCATATAAAGCACGTGACTTCCCCCAAAGAATCCTGGGAACTGAAATTTAGCTTTTACAGAGCTACAGTTCCCAGCATCCTTAGCAAACCACAGTTTCCAGGACACTTTGTCAGAAACACATGTGCTTTAAATTGACATAGTGTCCCCCCCAGTAGGAAAGTGTGTCTTGGGCCACAGGTATACTAGTTTCCATCTAGTATATGCAATGTAACAGTTTTGGACAACTGTACACTCCATATCCCCTGTACAGGGTGAGAAATCTGCAAATGTCTCCACTAGCAACTTTAAAAATATAGTAGTTAAGGTGCACTAGACAATTTTGTAAAGTTCATCTTTCCTTATCAAGGAGAAATACCCGTAAGAATGTTAATATCTGAGGGAGGGAGTGTATTTATTTAATATATTTCTGTTCTGCACCTTCTGCATAAGTTTCCCAAGCCAATAAGAACATGAGAACATAGTGTGTATGTGTGTCATTGTATGAACTGTGCATTTAAAGGACATTTAAAAGAC